GACAGAACTCTAAGGAGACCATACTAGGTAAAATCTAAATGACAGAACTCTCATGAGACCATACTAGGTAAAATCTAAATGACAGAACTCTTATGAGATCATACTAGGTAAAATCTAAATAACAGAACTCTCATGAGATCATCTATATATATAAAAATCAATGTTTGTGTGTTTGTTTCACCCCCATAGACTCGGAAACTACTGAACCGATTTAGCTGAAATTTTCAGGATATGTTTGTTGTGATACCGGATTTTGAACTGTCGTGGTTTGAAATTCAACCTGTCACTGTTAGAGATAGGTGACCACAATTTATGCCAAAATATACGCAACTAATATTTATAAATTTAGTGATTTCTAATTATAGCCACGTTAGTAATTGCGCATGCGCCGTATTTACCATTCGCCGGCGAGTTACGTGCAGCCAACACCTTCTCTAATACTAATACATAGAGTAGGTCGTGGTACAGCAAACAAGACTATCTCTATATTTGCCACAATAACCATATTAAACACGATTTCTATTTTTTTTTTTTTTTCAAACAACCTTCGATGGAGGGGGGGGGGGGGGGGGGGGGGGGGCCTAATCAAGGACTATCTCGACGTCGGCGCAGACAGTGACTGCGACATTAACTTCATTAACCGTGTTAGACACGTGCGATTTCTATTTCATTAATATATCTGGAGTATCTGTCTACGAGAAAACAATTGCCTGCGGTTTTGAATTGTTTTTTAATTGCGACACAGTAGTAGGGACTCACATGTCTAATAGTTGAGTTCTCTTTTCGTTGTGCCGATTAAGTGGCTGCTTGGTCGAATGGTTAGAACACTGGGTTCATGTGCGGTAGACCTGGGTTCGAATCCGCAGTCGTTAAATTTTTTTTACCCCGGACTAAAATAATATCCTCATCTGCTCTGTCGTGGTGACAGCACTAGCCATGTTGCCTTAATATTAAAAAAAAAAAAAAAAAGTAAATGGGTAAACCATTTGATAATTAAATTTGACCATTTCGCATACTTATGATTGCATTGTTAAACTTTCCGATTGCACGGTTACACTGAAATTTTATAGATTTTCATTTATTTTCATTTAGATTTAGTTATTTCATCTGTGTTGGAATTTTAAGCTGTGCTGTTTACAATGGCGTTCATTTCCTAATTATGGTGTTTTTTTCCTGTGTTCGTTTGCTTTTCAAGTGTTTTTTTCTTCTCCCAACTACTTCAATGAGGGAAAGAGTTGTCGGTGAATTTGGGGGGGAGGGGGGGGGGGGGCAAACTATTAACTGAGAGAGCGAGCTTTAAGTCACAGTAACTGCTTTACTCACTTAAAGTAGCAGCAGCAGTAATAGTTGTTACACCAGGGCTGTTACACCATAGTGCTCTCATGTGAAGACCGCCGGTAAGGTTATGGAGTTCTTCTGTCGGCAAGTGAAATTATACATCCTAACCTGACCAGTCTGTGGCGACAGCACTAGCCATGCGGAACCAAATCTTCTGGCTCACGACTCTCTGTCTACTCCGATGGTAACACAGATAGCAGTGACATTATTTTAGTAGTTGTACTGGTACTTGAAGGATGATGTGGTAAATATTACACTAGCCCTATTCACTACCTTTTACAATTCCTGCTCCCTATTTTAGTCCAGATGGACAGGGATGTCAATGTCAGTTACAGCAACAACAAAATATCGCCAGTTAGTGATTTTCAAATCCTTCGAAGAGGGAGAGAGCAGTAGTCGGTGGAAGAAGGGAGGGGGTAATGACTTAAATTTAAGAGAAATTAAAGAGCTTTACACTTGATTTTCAAGTTCTCATTGCCTAATTTGTTTATATTTTACTAACGCTACCTCCGCTTTTCTATTTTTTACGACTTACTTTGTTATTCACAAGTACAGTTGTAGCTTTACTTCCATCCCCTATAAAAATACAAACAGTTTTAGCATGTGATAACCAAATAACCATTTTTGTTACTGTGCTAATAACACCATTTAAACGACCACTAATATAAAAACACAATTATAAGGTGCGTGTTCTAAAGTTGGAAAACCAGACTATCGCTATATCCGTGCAGAGAATGATTGCGACATTAACTGTATTAGACATTGTTTTTCTTTTCCAAAAACCTTTGATGAGGGAGAGAGTAGTAGGTGGATTTAGTTGTGGTGGTGGGCGGGGATCAAAGACTATCTCTATATCTGAGCAGACAATGATTGTATTAGATGCGTGCGATTTCTGTTTTCTTTCATTTCCATTTAGCCAAACTATGCCACAGCAACGCGGGGCCGGGTACAGCTAGTACTAGATAAAATCTGGATGACAGAACTCTCATGAGACCATACTAGGTAAAATCTGGATGACAGAACTCTCATGAGACCATACTAGGTAAAATCTGGATGACAGAACTCTCATGAGACCATACTAGGTAAAATCTGGGTGACAGAACTCTCATGAGACCATACTAGGTAAAATCTGGATGACAGAACTTTCATGAGACCATACTAGGTAAAATCTGAATTTACTTTCTGACACCACACAGCCACTCCAAATGATTACATTTACAAGCCATTAACACAAAGCCCCAGCTTCATTCACTCTTTGACTCCACACAGCCACTCCAAATGATAACATTCACAAGCCATGAACACAAAGCCCCGGCTTCATTCACTCTTTGACACCACACAGTGACTCCAAACGATTACATTCACAAGCAATCAACACAAAGCCCCGGATCTCATACAGTGATTTCACAGACAACAAACACACAAGAACAAATGTTGCCATGGAAACTCACGAGACATATTTCTGTGCCATTTCCCTGTCGCAGCAGTATTCTCGTTTGTTTGGACCGCAGCAGTAGATGTAGGTCTCCGTTTCATTCTCCCTTGGACAGATGAAGTAACCATATATTCGTCCCTCTGGGCTTTTCTCGTAGTCATTGGTGCATATCGGAGGCACTGAAACATGGACCCACGACACGGTGATCCCATGAGCATGGACTACATCTGCTAGCATTATCTTCTAATGTTATCCTTGGTTGCTTTCTTCTTATGTTATCTGTTAGTGTTATCTTCTAACATTATCTGTTAGTGTTTTACTTCTAATGTTATCTGTTAGTGTTATCTTCTAATGTTACCTACTGGTGTTATCTGTTCGTGTTGTCTTATAATGTAATCTGTCAGTGTTGTCCTCTAATGTTATTTTTTGGTGTAGTCTTCTAATGTTATCTGTTGGTGTTGTCTTCTAATATTATCTGTTAGTGTTTAACTTCTAATGTTATCTGTTGGTGTTGTCTTCTAATATTATCTGTTAGTGTTTAACTTCTAATGTTATCTGTTGGTGTTGTCTTCTAATATTATCTGTTAGTGTTTAACTGCTAATGTTATCTGTTGGTGTTGTCTTCTAATATTATCTGTTAGTGTTTAACTTCTAATGTTATCTGTTGGTGTTGTCTTCTTACACGATCTGTTAGTGTTATCTTCTAATGTTATCTGTTGGTGTTGTCTTCTAATGTTATCTGTTTGTGTTGTCTTCTAAAATTATATGTTAGTGTTATCTTCTAATGTTATCTGTTGGTGTTATCTTCTGATCTCATCTGTTAGTCTTATTTCCTAATGTTATCCATTGGTGATGTCTTCTTATATTATTTGTTAGTGTTATCTTCTAATGTTATCTGTTGGTGTTGTCTTCTAACATTATCTTTTAGTGTTATCTTGTAATGTTATTACTCGGTGTTGTTTTCTAACATAATCTGTCAGTGTTATCTTCTAATGTTATCTGTTGGTGTTGTCTTCTAATGTTATCGGTTAGTGTTATTTTCTAATGTTATCTGTTGGTGATGTCTTGTAACATTATCTGTCAGTTTTATCTTCTAATGTTATCTGTTGGTGTTGTCTTCTAATGTTATCTGTTAGTGTTATTTTCTAATGTTACCAGTTAGTGTTGTCTTGTAACATTATCTGTCAGTTTTATCTTCTAATGATATCTGATGGGGTCACATGACAAGCTTATATAAGCTGTTGTGTGATATGTTCAGGTAAAATGTTTATGATGTGTTGAGATAACTTTTGTATACAATGTGGTGAGATTAAATGTTAAATCGTACAGTCAGATAAAATGTTATATGGTTTTGTGAGATAAAATGTTATATGGTGTTGTGAGATAAAATGTTATTTATATGATGTTGTGAGATAAAATCTTATATGGTGTGGTGAGATAAAATCTTATATGATGTTGTGAGATAAAATGTTATATGGTGTGGTGATATAAAATGTTATATGGTGTGAGATAAAATGTTATATGGTGTGGTGAGATAAAATGTTATATGGTGTGGTGAGATAAAATGTTATATGGTGTGAGATAAAATGTTATATGGTGTGGTGAGATAAAATGTTATATGGTGTGAGATAAAATGTTATATGGTGTGAGATAAAATGTTATACTTTGTGGTGAGATAAAATGTTATATGGTGTGAAATAAAATGTTATACTTTGTGGTGAGATAAAATGTTATATGGTGTGGTGAGATAAAATGTTATATGGTGTGATGAGATAAAATCTTATATTGTGTGGTAATTTAAAAACGTTTTTTGGAGTGATGAGAGAAAAAAAAAAGACATGAAGAACTGGCTGCTTCCACAGAAAGCAAGCTGACACATGAATGAAACATACATACTGTCGTGTCTGTGTGAGTGCAGTCGTATATAGCGGGGACCTCCGTAGATGAACCCGGCCAGCGCCGCTGTCCGCCAGTTCAACATGGTATACTTGCTGCTGCCTAAAACACGTCCAGTGAGCGCCACACTGGTGTAGGTTTTAGCCGCTCGGGAGGAGCTATACGAATGGCTCCTAGATGACCTCCCACTACTCCGGCTGCCTCCACCACCTCGCCTGCCTTTAACATCACTGATCTCTAAATAAACAAGTACAGCAAATCTGCAATTATCAAGCTGTTGGAAATATTTTAAAGACACAAAACAGATCAATTTACAATCTTTCTCTCTTGCTCTCTCGCTCTCATTCTCTCCCTCCGTTTTTAAAAAAAATACAGAATTCCTTCTCACACCAACGGGCCTGGGAAATTATGGATCTCCATTTTCACCTTCCCAGAGTCACAGATCAGGTCAGTGTTTTTGTGGTGTCCGAATCACCCAAGTATTTATCTCCTGTCTTCCCTTTGCTCTTTTCCCATCTTTTAGTTACCAGCAAGTTTTCCAGTTGTTCCTTTTCATATTTTTTTACACGCACACATGCATGTGCGTGCACACACACACACACAATGGTGAATGTCCACGCTTCAATTCTCTAATGGTTGCAAATTTCTGCAAGCCTCAAAGAGAATTACCTCTGCTAGTTGATTATATTCCTTGTTTTCCACCCAGAATCCTCTTTGAAGCTGCCAATAGATATTTTCATTGATACCAGAATACAGGCTCTACACAGTATTTTTTGTAACTCATTGTGTCTCCATTCAGTTGACGCCTTTTTATTGGTAAACAATGGCACCCACAGACAGACAAACATGAACAATGCCATTCACAGAGAGACAAACATAAACAACGTCATTCACAGAAAGACAAATATGAACAATGTCATCCACAGAGAGACAAACATGAACAATGCCATCCATAGATAGACTAATATGAACAATGTCATCCACAGAGAGACAAACATGAACAATGCTTTCCATAGATAGACAAACATGAACAATGTCACTGACAGAGAGACAAACATGAACAATGTCACTCACAGAAAGATAAAAATTAACAATGTCATTCACAGAGAGACAAACATGAACAATGCTATCCACAGATATACAAACATGAACAATGCTATTCACAGAAAGACAAACATGAATAATGCCATTCATAAAGAGACAAACATGAACAATGCCATCCATAGATAGACAAACATGAATAATATCATCCACAGAGACAAACATGAACAATATCATCCACAGAGACAAACATGAACAATGTCATCCATAGATAGACAAACATGAACAATGTTATCCACAGAGACAAACATGAACAATGTCCTCCACAGAGACAAACATGAACAATATCATCCACAGAGACAAACATGAACAATTTCATCCACAGAGACAAACATTAACAATGTCATCCACAGAGACAAACATGAACAATGTCATCCATAGATAGACAAACATGAACAATGTCATCCACAGATATAAAAACATAAACAATGCTATCCACAGATATACAAACATGAACAATGCCATTCACAGAAAGACAAACATGAATAATGCCATTCATAAAGAGACAAACATGAACAATGTCATTCATAAAGAGACAAACATGAACAATGCCATCCATATATAGACAAACATGAACAATATCATCCACAGAGACAAACATGAACAATGTCATCTAGAGAGACAAACATTAACAATATCATCCACAGAGACAAACATGAACAATATCATCCAAAGAGACAAACATGAACAATGTCATCCATAGATAGACAAACATGAACAATGTCATCCATAGATAGACAAACATGAACAATGTCATCCATAGATAGACAAACATGAACAATGTCATCCATAGATAGACAAACATGAACAATGTCATCCATAGATAGACAAACATGAAAAATGTCATCCATAGATAGACAAACATGAGCAATGTCATCCATAGATAGACAAACATGAACAATGTCATTCATAGATAGACAAACATGAACAATGTCATCCATAGATAGACAAAAATGAAAAATGACATCCATAGATAGACAAACATGAACAATGTCATCAATAGATAGACAAACATGAACAATGTCATCCATAGATAGACAAACATGAACAATGTCATCCAAAGATAGACAAACATGAACAATGCCATCCATAGATAGACAAACATGAACAATGTCATCCATAGATAGACAAACATGAACAATGTCATCAATAGATAGACAAACATGAACAATGTCATCCATAGATAGACAAACATGAACAATGTCATCCAAAGATAGACAAACATGAACAATGCCATCCATAGATAGACAAACATGAACAATGTCATCCATAGATAGACAAACATGAACAATGTCATCAATAGATAGACAAACATGAACAATGTCATCCATAGATAGACAAACATGAACAATGTCATCCACAGATAGACAAACATGAACAATGCTATCCACAGATAGACAAACATGAACAATGCTATCCATAGATAGACAAACATGAACAATGCTATCCACAGAGAGACAAACTTTAACAATGCCATTATCTGGCTGGCAGGCTGGCTGGTTAATTTGTTTGTTTGATCGTTGTGAATGGTCTGGGAGGCTGAGCCGTGACTCTCAATACTGAGGCACTGGCATCCAGTCTGTCTCAGATCTGACTCTCATCTGATGTGTTGGCATCCAGGCTGTCTCAGATCTGACTCTTGTCTGATGTGTTGGCATCCAGACTATTTTAGATCTGACTTGTCTGATGTGTTGGCATCCAGGCTGTCTCAGATCTGACTCTCAAGTCTGATGTGTTGGCATCCAGACTGTTTTAGATCTGACCTTAGTCTGATGTGTTGGCATCCAGGCTGTCTCAGATCTGACTCTCAAGTCTGATGTGTTGACATCCAGGCTGTCTCAGATCTGACTCTTGTCTAATGTGTTGGCATCCAGGCTGATTCAGATCTGACTCTCAAGTCTGATGTGTTGGCATTCAGGCCTCAGATCTGACTCTCATCTGATGTGTTGGCATCCAGTCTGTCTCAGATCTGACTCTCAAGTCTGATGTGTTGGCATTCAGGCTGTGTCAGATCAGACTCTTGTATGATGTGTTGGCATCCAGGCTGTCTCAGATCTGAAAACTTCCGGTTAAAATGGACACTAGACAGCGGCGCTGTTCGAAGCAGAGGCAAATTTTTTGCTTGTGCCGGACGGTGGCCGAAGTATTTTTGCTCCATTTGTAGACTGGATATAGTTTCGTCGCCCAGCTTCTGAGTTGAATGCATGGCGTGACCCTGTGAGCTGCGGATTGCATTTGGAATGTATTTTCGACTGTGACCAACGTGGTGGTGTGAATTGTAGATTCAGAAAATGGCGTGATGCCTGTCGTGCAATGTTGGCGGTGCCCGTATCTGGTTAAAATTGATCGCGTGGGCAACTGCTGATCTGTTGGCGACAAGGTCTGCTATCATTAATGATGAACTGCATTTCTAATGGACTGTTTGTGCTAGCACTTCGGATGGCTACCGTATGCTTTAATGCGAGTGTATGCTAGATATGCTGAGACAGCAGTCTGTCAATCTTTCCACAAGGGACTGTGATAAACATTCTGGGTGTTTTTTGTTGGCACAGGAGCGGAGCAAAGATGGGGCGACCCGTTTGCTATGAAGCTGAAACTAAGACTACCAGACTACCAGACTATCAGATCTGACTCTCAAGTCTGATGTGTTGGCATTCAGGCTGTGTCAGATCTGAATCTCAAGTCTGATGTGTTTGCATCCAGGCTGTTTTAGATTTAGATGTGACTCTCAAATCTGATGGGCTGGCATCCAGGCTGTCTCAGATCTGACTCAAATCTGATGGGCTGGCATCCAGGCTGTCTCAGATCTGACTCAAATCTGATGGGCTGGCATCCAGGTGTCTTAGCTATGAGAAAGGCTTGCATCTGCTGGAGTGTGGCTCGTGTAGAGATGTCCCTCGCTGAAGTGTGTCCCTCTCTGAAGTGTGTCCCTCTCTGAAGTGTGTCCCTCTCTGAAGTGTGTCCCTCTCTGGAGTGTGTCCCTCTCTGAAGTGTGTCCCTCGCTGAAGTGTGTCCCTCTCTGAAGTGTGTCCCTCTCTGGAGTGTGTCCCTCTCTGGAGTGTGTCCCTCGCTGAAGTGTGTCCCTCTCTGAAGTGTGTCCCTCTCTGAAGTGTGTCCCTCTCTGGAGTGTGTCCCTCTCTGGAGTGTGTCCCTCTCTGGAGTGTGTCCCTCTCTGGAGTGTGTCCCTCTCTGAAGTGTGTCCCTCGCTGAAGTGTGTCCCTCTCTGGAGTGTGTCCCTCTCTGAAGTGTGTCCCTCTCTGGAGTGTGTCCCTCTCTGAAGTGTGTCCCTCTCTGGAGTGTGTCCCTTTTTGAAGTGTGTCCCTCGCTGAAGTGTGTCCCTCTCTGAAGTGTGTCCCTCTCTGGAGTGTGTCCTTCTCTGGAGTGTGTCCCTCACTGAAGTGTGTCCCTCTCTGAAGTGTGTCCCTCTCTGAAGTGTGTCCCTCTCTGAAGTGTGTCCCTCTCTGAAGTGTTGGTGATGTTTCCTTCACAGACAGGTCCTTGAACCATTTTGTCTTTCACTCAGTCAGATTCAGGAGTCTCTGGATTTATTTCATGAACAGCGGTCTCTCTGGATTCCTTTCATGAATGGGGTCTCTGAATCTGTTTCATGGACACATCATTCAGTCCACAAGTGAAGGTGTTATGGTAATCTCTGGGGATCACAGCTGCAGCCTATAGAGTTCATGCTCTGTAATACTCTTAGCAGGTGGGGGCAGGTTGGTCTGTAGATACCGCGCCACACAGGATAACCTAGTGCAATCAGGTCACTTGTGGACTTTAACAGTCAGATCCTTGAACCAGCCCCAGTCTCCTCTCACATGGCTACATCCAAGCTCTTGCACAGATCTGGTGCAGCTCCAAACTGCAGGCCAGTCCAACACCAAGCAGAGTTCACAACCAACATTCACATAGTGCAAACAATGAGACAACACAAGTAGTATGTGAAGCCTAGAAGGGAACAACCAACATCCACATAGTACAAACAATGAGACAACACAGGTAGTATGTGAAGCCTAGAAGGGAACAACCAACATCCACATAGTACAAACAATGAGACAACACAGGTAGTATGTGAAGCCTAGAAGGGAACAACCAACATTCACATAGTACAAACAATGAGATAACACAGGTAGTGTGTGAAGCCTAGAAGGGAACAAACAACATTCACATAGTGCAAACAATGAGACAACACAGGTAGTGTGTGAAGCCTAGAAGGGAACAAACAACATTCACATAGTACAAACAATGAGACAACACAGGTAGTGTGTGAAGCCTAGAAGGGAACAAACAACATTCACATAGTGCAAACAATGAGACAACACAGGTAGTGTGTGAAGCCTAGAAGGGAACAACCAACATTCACATAGTGCAAACAATGAGACAACACAGGTAGTGTGTGAAGCCTAGAAGGGAACAACCAACATTCACATAGTGCAAACAATGAGACAACACAGGTAGTATGTGAAGCCTAGAAGGGAACAAACAACATTCACATAGTACAAACAATGAGACAACACCGGTAGTGTGTGAAGCCTAGAAGGGAACAAACAACATTCACATAGTGCAAACAATGAGACAACACAGGTAGTGTGTGAAGCCTAGAAGGGAACAAACAACATTCACACAGTACAAACAATGAGATAACACAGGTAGAGTGTGAAGCCTAGAAGGGAACAACCAACATTCACATAGTGCAAACAATGAGACAACACAGGTAGAGTGTGAAGCCTAGAAGGGAACAACCAACATCCACATAGTACAAACAATGAGATAACACAGGTAGTATGTGAAGCCTAGAAGGGAACAAACAACATCCACATAGAGCAAACAATGAGACAACACAGGTAGTGTGTGAAGCCTAGAAGGGAACAACCAACATTCACATAGTGCAAACAATGAGACAACACAGGTAGTGTGTGAAGCCTAGAAGGGAACAAACAACATTCACACAGTACAAACAATGAGATAACACAGGTAGAGTGTGAAGCCTAGAAGGGAACAACCAACATTCACATAGTGCAAACAATGAGACAACACAGGTAGAGGTGAAGCCTAGAAGGGAACAACCAACATCCACATAGTACAAACAATGAGATAACACAGGTAGTATGTGAAGCCTAGAAGGGAACAAACAACATCCACATAGAGCAAACAATGAGACAACACAGGTAGTGTGTGAAGCCTAGAAGGGAACAACCAACATTCACATAGTGCAAACAATGAGATAACACAGGTAGAGTGTGAAGCCTAGAAGGGAACAACCAACATCCACATAGTACAAACAATGAGATAACACAGGTAGTGTGTGAAGCCTAGAAGGGAACAACCAACATTCACATAGTGCAAACAATGAGATAACACAGGTAGTATGTGAAGCCTAGAAGGGAACAACCAACATCCACATAGTGCAGACAATGAGACAACACAGGTAGTATGTGAAGCCTAGAAGGGAACAAACAACATTCATATATTGCAATGAGACAACACCTCATTGTAACAAACTCTGAAAGCATTCTGAGAAACGTGAAGACAGGGATGCTTTGAGCCAAGTGGCAAGCTTCACTGGGAAGGTCACAGGCAGTGAGCATACTCTGGATCTTTTCTCCAGGCCATGCTGGCGTGGTGGGGTGGGGGGGAGGGGGGGGGGTGTGGTGTGGCGTTGTGTGGTGTGGGGGAGGGGCTGTGGTGTGGCGTGGTGTGGGGGGGGGGTGTGTGGGGGGGGGAGAGAGAATCTAACAACAACAACAACAAAAACAAGAAAACACGAAGTAGCAGCCGAGGTTGTGTCCGCAAGTGTTGCGGTATACTAACACACTGGTGTCTTCGTCATAATAGAGAAGTAAGACATTAAATGAACAAATGTCGGTCATCATCACAGGGAAGTGATATCTGAACAGCATTCGGCTATCATCACAGGGAAGTGATATCTGAACAGCATTCGGCTATCATCACAGGGAAGTGATATCTGAACAGCATTCGGCTATCATCACAGGGAAGTGATATCTGAACAGCTTTCGGCTATCATCACAGGGAAGTGATATCTGAACAGCTTTCGGCTATCATCACAGGGAAGTGATATCTGAACAGCATTCGGCTATCATCACAGGGAAGTGATATCTGAACAGCTTTCGGCTATCATCACAGGGAAGTGATATCTGAACAGCTTTCGGCTATCATCACAGGGAAGTGATATCTGAACAGCATTCGGCTATCATCACAGGGAAGTGATATCTGAACAGCATTCGGCTACCATCACAGGAAAGTGATATCTGAACAGCTTTCGGCTATCGTGACAGACTAGCATTCCTACCTGTGACCCATGGGACGCCCGACCCTGCACACGATGTTGTGTTAAACAAAATCCAGGTAACAAGATGGCTTGAGTTAGAAAACACCTCACCAGTCCTACACGGGAATCCATAACGAAACAGGGAACTAACGAAGGCTCCATATTCAGTAAAACAATGTACAAGCCCGTGACGGCTCTTGCCAGCACGGAATCTAGCAGACGAGCTCAGAGGCGGGACCAACAGGGTAACGGTAGTAAGCTGGAGGAGGTCGTTGTTGACCACAATCACAACACTGGGATTCAACTATATCCCTGACGTGCAGCACGGTCAGCCCTAACACACAACACAACCGACATTAATCTGTGTGTGTAGTCAGACTTACCCAGAAACAGCACAACAAACAACCAGAGACAAACGATGTAAGTCCTAGCCGAGGCCATGTTGTCAGAACACAACGATCAGTAAAAAACCGTTTACGGGATTTTTGTCGACTCTCTCTCTCTCCCTCGACTCCAGCTGACTGTGGCGCCCGCTGGGGGCGGCAGGCTTCTCTTGAAGCGAGCGAATGGCGGCGGTGTGGGGGTGTGGTATATAAAGTATTTATATCTGTTGTATCCGGGTGGGTTATTCCGCGTCGACTGTTGTAACCAGGATAGTGTCAAACATAACAACAACAACAACAAATGTTTGTCACTCTCTGATAGAGGAGCACCATCACACTGTGGTTAGACACTGGCAGACCTTTCTACGTGACGGTACACTCCATAAAATGTTTAAAACAGGATCAAGTAATCACGACAAAATCCGGCACTCTTCCGAATACCGGTCCCAAATAATTCACTGCCGAAAAACATCCCTCAGGAGGTTATTTAGTAAAACTGTTTAGGCCATCATGATCAGTTTCCACTTGTGCCGTTATTGCTCGCTGGATATCAATGTTTAGACGTTAAGTTAAGCGCCGTGGGGAGGAATCATTGTCGATCCATTAAAGCGACGTGGAAAAGAATAGATTTAGATCCATTGTTTAAGCGTCTTGGGGAGGAGTAGAGTTCCATCCATTTCAGCGACGTGAATGATTTTTGATCCATTGTTTACATTACCCATTACTGCCCTTGCGGGGGTCCAGGGCCAAATATTTTAGGGGAAAGAAAAAAATAGATCCACTGCCACTTAAAAGTTGTAAAAGACGACTAATTAGGACTGCTGAAATCGGATGATTTGGGGCAAAGGGCGCAGATATCGCAGCCTAGCTGTACACCACAACACAATGTGAGAACCATTCTTTCAAGAGCGAACGAAAAGAACGAAGTTTACCTACCCGTGACATTATCATTGAGCATCTAGCCGCCGCTATCGCAGCCTAGCTGTGAACCACAAGAACAAGCGAAAGGCGCATAATTCGCAGCCTAGCTATAAACCACAAGACAACGTGCCAACCACCCTGTTAAGGGTTAAAAAATGACCTCTTGAGGCCCTGAATAGGATTTTTTAACGGTGAATAATTTGGGACCGGTATTCGGAAGAGTGCCAACTGTTTCGTGTTTTGTTGTCTTCTGATGACTAGATCTTTTCAGATTGTCTTTACTGTGCATGTCGGCGTCTGTGGCTTGGGCGTTGAGATCGCGCATCGTAACGCCGGGCTGCCGAGTTCGATCCCAGCTGCGGAAGATTGCTTTCAATGGAGGTGTCGATGGTTTGGTTTATACAACGGATCAGCTGCTGAAGCTGAGGACGGAGCATGCACGGGAATGCCCCAAGTGCTGTGATGTCAATTCTTGACTCAACTCAACAACGGATCAACATCATGGCACACGGGGTGTAACCCATCAGTGCTCCGTTCTACTTCTAACCCAAGCCTGAGTCTGCAGAAGCTCAGCGCTGTGCAACAATTCGTAGCAACGGCGAGGGTCCTGACATACTTTGGTTAGATTTTCAACTCCAAATTTTGCCAGGGCAGCGCAACTATGCTACTCTTTTCGATTTCCAAATGCCAAAGGATTTTTTACGTGCGCACTAACACACACGGGCGTCCGGTCTTACCACTCAGAGACCGGGAGAAATTAGAAGTCCACGTGACAAAAAAAAAAAAAATCAGAGCTTTCGCCCCGGTCTGAACCATGGACCTCCAGCACTCGAATCGGACGCCATGCACCGCGACCACTCAGCCACCCCCCACCTATCCCCTCCCAGTGGTGCCGAGAGTTGACTGTTGAAGAAGCAATGGAAAACTTAAATTTGCCTAGCAAACCACAACAGTCAAAAAATGGTGAGATTGGTTCTGCAACGTCCTGTATAAGATACGCAGCTGACTGACTATGTATCAAATGTCCATACAATTGCCTGCGTGTGAAATGTTTAAAATGTCCTTTCAATTGTCTGCATGTGATATGTTTAAAATGTCCTTTCAATTGTCTGCATGTGATATGTTTGAAATGTCCTTTCAATTGTCTGCATGTGATATGTTTGAAATAACATTTTACAAGGCTTTTTTCTCATTGGTACATTGTTTAAGAACTTAAGAAAACAATCTTTGTAGCGAAGCACTGTGTACTGGAATAGCAAAGAAGAACTGTAACATTTTTACGAGTACATTCCACTACCTGCTCAGTTTTCAGTTTAGTCAAGCACACCTTTTTTCGTTTCGCTATGGCACTCGATTGTGATAGGTGGAAGCGAATTTCTCCAGATAGATCCCAGCACTGTGAAACATTTATCTCTGACTCTATCAGTTCACAAATGTGATGGGCTCTTCAAAATGTTTGCCACCACATGTCCTCAAAATCTGGCCACTGATAGAAAACATGTTGGATTCACATCTGGAGATATTCCAAGCAACCTTGATAAGAGTGAGTGCACATTGTTCAATAACGCTTTAACTTTGTCTTCATGGCCCTCGCTCTCCACATCTTTGTCTTTCGCGTTTAAATGAAAGAGGTTGTTGAGGAATCTTTGTTACACAAATCAATGAATTGCTTCCTTTCCCTTTTCACTGGTTTGAGGATGAATACACTGATCACTAAACATAGAGATCAGGTGCACACCACGACCTTCTCCAGCTGTTAATACATTGACGGAGATCAGGTGCACACCACGACCTTCTCCAGCTGTTAATACATTGACGGAGATCAGGTGCACACCACGACCTTCTCCAGCTGTTAATACATTGACGGAGATCAGGTGCACACCACGACCTTCTCCAGCTGTTAATACATTGACGGAGATCAGGTGCACACCACGACCTTCTCTAGCTGTTAATACATTGACGGAGATCAGGTGCACACCACGACTTTCTCCAGCTGTTAATACATTGACGGAGATCAGGTGCACACCGCGACCTTCTCCAGCTGTTAATACATTACCGGAGATCAGGTGCACACCACGACCTTCTCCAGATGTTAATACATTGACGGAGATCAGGTGCACACCGCGACCTTCTCCAGCTGTTAATACATTGACGGAGATCAGGTGCACACCACGATCTTCTCCAGCTGTTAAAACATTGCCAGAGATCAGGTGCACACCGCGACCTTCTCCAGCGGGTTATACATTGCCAGAGATCAGGTGCAAACTGACTCCGCTGAAAGGATTTCCTCACAAGTGCTGGACAATCGCGAGAGGCTTGTTCTGAGACACGAGGAAGAATCTCCCCGCTGGAAACATGAATGTTGCCAAGACTACAGACTGAAGGTTGCCAGGACCACAGACCGAATGTTGCCAGGACCACAGACTGAAGGTTGCCAAGATTACAGACTGAATGTTGCCAAGACTACAGACTGAATGTTGCCAAGACTACAGACTGAATGTTGCCAAGACTATAGACTGAATGTTGCCAAGACTACAGACTGAATGTTGCCAAGACTACAGAATGAATGTTTGTAAATTAAATTTAAGTAGCCTACTACGACCGAACAATGAGCGACAAACAAAAAATGCCAACACCTGGATGTGAATCCCCCAGGTGTTCGTCCCAGAAACCCGATGCAACCCTTAGGTTATAGTAGCCCCCCCCCCCCCCCCCCCCAGACAGCTACTAAGTAACACGAAGACCAACCGGGCGGGGCTGTAACATTTCACAAACAAAAAACAATGAGTCCACCAACCCTGGCCATGTATGGTGGGCTAGTCTGTTACAGTAGGCATATGCCACGGAACGGACTTTTACGTGTGACTGAATTGCCTCAATGGCACCATTCTGGCGCAGGCAGACCTAACCTGGATATGATATCTATGCTAATGTAACGACCATGTTGTAAATATCAGCCCTTGGAGATTGCAACAGCCTGTCTGTACAATGGCACCCCAGAAACCACACCGCCGCCCCACGGCAACTGTTATATTCAGAGCACAAATTAATCGATACACGGTGTCGGTGACGAGTGCACAAGTTTCATGTATCGAGCTTCTCCATTATCTCTCTCTCTCTCTCTCTCTCTCTCTCTCTCTCTCTCTCTCTCTCTCTCTCTCTTTCTCTCTCTCTCTCTCTCACTCTATCTGTCTCTGTGTGTGTGTGTGTGTGTGTGTGTGTGTGTGTGTGTGTCACTGTCTGCCCTTCTTGTGTGTCTCTCATTGTCGTTCCCTCAGTCTGTTTTTTTTAGAGCAATTACGTGTACCTCGGTATTGAAGAAAGAAGGTATACTCAAGAAATAAAGGATGTTTGAATTAGACCACAGCAAATGATGAAAACTGGGTCAAAGCTCCTTGGCAGCGAAAACCACGATGATCCACTTGCAGCGGACACCAGTGGAGGTGGCTCAGTGGATACATATAGTCAAGATGAGACATTACAGATTCGCACTACCGTTTCATAGCCATGAAAATTAAGGGTGTCTTGGGGTGTTCTGTCTATAGCCCGACTGTGGGGTGGAATGAGGATCTTTGCAGGGCCGATATCGTTTTCCAAACTAAAATTATGAGTGTCTTGGAGTGTTGTTTTGTCTATAGGCCGACTGTGGGATGGAATGAGGATCGTTGCAGGGCCGATATAGTTTTCCGAACTACAATTATGAGTGTCTTGGAGTGTTCTGTCTATGGGCCGACTGTGGGATGGAATGAGGATCTTTGCAGGGCCGATATCGTTTTCCGAACTAAAATTATGTGTGTCTTGGGGTGTTGCTCGCATTAAGCTGTAGGTGCTCACTGGAGACAACCACTGTCGATATAACAAGTGGATCTCATGATCATCTCGAGTAAGGGTAAGCCCTAACCTATAACAAGTAGGTCTCTCTAATGATCATCTCCAGTAAGGGTAAGCCCTAACCTATAACAAAGACTGAAACTATGGAATGTCGATATCATTACTTTAGAGTCGTCCTCAACCTTCAAGTGGTAGACGAAGGAATGTCCACCTCTTTACATTAGAGTTGTACACAACCTTCAAGTGGTAGACGAGGGAATGTCCACCTCATTACATTAGAGTTGTCCTCAACCTTCAAGTGATAGT